TTCAAACGGCATGGGTAAATGAGTACGTCAGATGTCAGGTCGTGCTTTGATATTGCATCATTCGGCAAGGCTGATGTAGCCAAGCAACTCGCCGAGCCACACCAGCAGATGTGCAATTGACTTTTTCACTCTTTTCGCAACTTTCAGAGAAATGGGGGGAAGAGTTATGGGGAACGCCACGATATGCTTTTTTAAACGCTCCTCGTAACGGGTTTTATGGTCGGGAAGCAGGTACCCACGATCTGCAACTCAATGAATTGATTTTGAAACCGCAGAACGGGTATTTTGATGTGCGGCATTCCAACCTGGTGGAAGATTAAAGGCTAACTTTGGACCACCGTGTGTAACATTGGGCGACCCTGTATTCATATGTTGCCTCTTCTTTCCCATTTAACTTTTAATCGAAATGAAAGTCACAAAGAATAAGGAAATCAATAATAAGTTTGGCAACACCTCCGCTACAGAGAGAAATAAAGAAAAAGAAGAAAACAGTGACCTAATATTTTACCCTGAAATTGCACAAAGTTAGCCGTGTTACTTTCGTCGTTCCTCGCCTTAATACAGTTGTATGAAAAATACTTCATAATAATTTCTAGTTGCTAATTTTCTTGTTGGTAAAATAAGCTAAATGTACAAAAACAGTAATTAGCACATAGCAATGAGCAAAAATCTTCATGCCATTCTCTAGAGACCATTCATTTCTTAGAAGGGAGGCTAAGCAAAAAAGCTTGGCTCCTGACGCATTACAGCAAGATGTGATGGTTGGAAATTCTAAAGAATTGTCCTAAAATCCAAACATTAAAAATTGAATTACATTTTGCAGTAAGGATTCACTATTTCTCATACATGCTGGTTTCCATACGAAGATATGTGCTTTTATGGGAGAGCCAGAGATAGTGGTTTCAGGACATTTTGTTAACGATTTTTTGTTCGCGCACCTTTTTTGTCCAGTTGTTAACGTAAAATAAGCAACGGTGACTTGGTTCAAGCGTCATATTTTAGTCGGTATGTAAAATTATACTGACAATATAAAAATGAGAAATTGAGAGAGAAGGAGGTATTGTTATAGTCGCTCATTTTCTAAATGAAATGTTATTACTTCCTCCTTTTGAATCATCTTTTTGAATTGTCATTGGTGAATATTTGGTTTTATTTATATCCTTAAAATATTCGATGTACAATATACCTTATATGTGTATGGGTACTTTTTTTTATTTTTTTAATTTTTTCTTTACGGAATTATTACTTCATTTTGAAAACATTTATATTTTTAAAACGTGACAAATATTTGTAAAACCTTTTCCAAGCGACATTAATCTCAATAAGCCGCACTTGTGCCGACAGAAACTGCAAAAATGAATAAAGGAGGAAAAAAAACCAAGACGCACGCAATCTTTAGTTTTAACCCATTTGTACATCGATCTTTTAGAGTCAAATACGTCACATTTTGAGCGTTTGGTTGCGCGTACACCTCGCTGCAGCACAATAAAAGCACAAAATGTAAAAGAAAAAATTAAAGTGCTTTGGAAATAATTAAATTTGACACGGAACCACCAATATTTAAAAAACACACATTATATTATTATTCTCCTTTGCTAAATTGATACATATTTTCTCCCATCAATTTAGATGAGAATAATCAACGCAGAGTGTGCAAACATGTCAAAATCATGAGTTAAAAAACGCTGACTATGCGAGTATAAATATTAAAGCCTTAGAGAGCGGAGCGGCGTGCTGCCAGCGCGAGAGGCTCACTGGCGCCTACAAACCTAAGTGGATACTTCACGCATTGCATAATGCTTGAAGTATCCACTTAGGTTTGTAGGCGCCAATGCGCGCTTCGCGCTGGCCGCCCGCCTGCCGTGCGGCGGGGCCTATTTCACAACAGAGGTGTTGCACAGTATTATACGAACGTATTAAGAATGGCAGGCATCCTTTGAAAGTACAGATCTTTCCTCGCAAAATAAATACTTATCGTACACAGGAAAAATCTGAGAGCCTTTAGCTGAGGCAAATATAGAGGTTTATCCGGTTCAGGTATAGCAAGGTGGGAATTTCTTGAAAGATAATTAAGTCCTGTTACACCAAAGAGGTGTAGAAAGTTTTAGTGAATTTTGTCTCATGGAATTGACGCTCCCCCATTTTTACCAAAACTCTCAACTATATATTATTCTCCGTTGGACCAAACAGACAAAACAAAAAAACAAGCAAACCCTCATTCTTCCAACACATTTTACATTTTCATACAAAAACGTCATGAGCAATCGTCGTTTGTATTTACATGTGGGCCAATTAACTTTGGGTCTCAACTGGCGTGTGGACCAAAACTCCCGTGCCGAAAAAACGCGTGGACGTAAATTACTGGAAAAAACAGGTGCGCGGACAAAAAATCATTGACGAAATGTCCTATAACCGAGTTGGTGGTGCCTTACTTATTGCAAAATGTGAGCCAATTGGATTGCATTTTCCAAAAAGGAACCAGGAGCATTGCTATGTTCCTAAGATTGTGCAACTCCACCTTTTGCAATAAAACTACTGTAATCATGCAAATATATGGAATTTGCACGGCAATTTTTGTCTTAAATTTACAATTTGCAGCGCGTAAAATAGAAATTTTGTCTTTTTCCTTCTTTAACGGGTTGTATCAGCATAGTACTCACTTTTTCTTTTTTTCAAAACGGGCGAAAAAGAAAACATAAGTACTAAAATAGAAAATGTTTATAGATGATTAGGTTTTTCTTCCAAGACAGAAGAAGTTGCACAATTCAAGCAACATTGCAATGCTCTTGGTTCCTCTTTGCAAAATCAATCCGATTGATCGTTCGAATCGAATCAGTCTCCAAAGTGCTGAGGAACAATTTTAATTTTAGACAGCAAAGACTTTTTAAGGATATTTATGCTGTCTGCCTCTGCGATTCCGAAGGAGAAATGTTGCGATCCGGCAAAACAGAGACAAGTAAGAGTAAAAGCGGATTGAGGCTCAACGAACGACCTTGCCAAGAACGGTGACCCAAATTCCATTAATTCGATTTAGTCACTTTCTGCGGGGCTACGCAGTTCAGATTCACCAAGTGGACTCTGCCTCACGCAACGGCAATCATCACTCTTTTGGGCCAACGGCACCTGCGGAGCACTCTTTTTGGGAAATTATCGCTAGACCATTGTCGCGGCTTCTAATTGGCTGCACCAGTCTCAAGTTTTCTTGAAGATTTAAAGAGCGAACAATGCCTTAAAAAAAGCGTGCTGAAAAGTATGATCTCTAAGTAAAATTGATCTCGTAAAACTTAATCAGAATATTTAGATCCTTGATTAAAACGCCATTTGAGGATTCTTCCAACCGTTTTCACGCGTCAAAAAAGCAGAGAAATTCAATCGCGTCGGAAACCTTAAGTTTTTTTGGGGGAAAATTGTTTTTTTCTCTTGGCTCAATCCAAACCTTTTAAACGGGAAAACAGGCAGATAAAGTCAGGTGGCCCTTAAGGTGAAAACGTAAACACTGCAGAACAGCAGAGAAATGAATCCGGGTCAAGCATTCTGATTTTCAGTGATCGATGTGATCATCCCAACACTCTTAAAAAAATTGGGCCAGAATATCAAGGCTTAGTTTTTATTTTCATAAACATTTGAAATAAATCGTCTCTGCGACTGGCGATAATTCGGTAAACTTCGGCCGTGTTTTTCTCAAATTTAATATGTTTTATTCTCTGACTAATTTATACAATTTCGGGGCGTTCTATCAGCCAAATTAAATAATCCATCTGAGTTGTTCGATAACTATCTCGTTTGATTTCTCTTTTCCACCTTCAGGGCCCTTTCCTCTTCCTCTAACAAAAATAGTAGCCAAAATTAAAATGGGACTTTATTTCAAAGATGAAGCATCTTTTTTCCCCAGTGTGACGAAACATTTAATGAGGTTCTCAGACCTGAGGCGCATCTAGAGGTTCCTTTACTCGCTACAAAAATGGTGAATTCATGAGCAACCGGGAGTCATGCGACTGAGTTTTCCCTTTTCGTGCCGCGCGAATGGTTTTCTTCCGGCTTGAGGGCATTGGAAGCGACCGGGAAAACTAGTTGACCAGTCATCACTCTTGACTTTGATCGACCAATCCAGGGTGAACGGACGAATGTTGCCGAACTCTTGTAAGCAGTTATCTCCACTCACATTGATTTACATCTCTGAAATTTGTCGAAATCACGAAATTGGCATCGCTGGAGTAGCAATGGGCAGGTGTGTTTTGCGAGACTGCCGCCCATAACAAGTTGCCGCGGTCCAATTGACGCTCATAATCATGACCCACATTTGAATGCGCTTTTCGGGATACACTCAAATTCATTATAAATATGTTTGACCACTTTGCAAATACCGGCTCCGGACTGGATTCCGTTATTTAATTAGAGCCACGGTAATGCGTGTTTATGTTTTTAATTTCAAAATATTTAAGACAAAATATTCAAACGACTGCACTAAGAGCTGTCTTCAGGGACGTTAAGTTTTATGTCATCGTATAAGAACAGGTTATATGTTTTTCCGTTTTCCTCAACTGAATGCCTCGCTTTGAAAACTGATTGGATTTACCGCTATGTAACGTCTATGCCGTATATGTTTTCGTCAATGGAGATATTATTGATTTCTCAATATTTTCTTTTAAAAATAATGTATTAAATTTTGGAATGTTTCTATCAAGCATATACGCTAATATTCTTTACGGAAATTAAAATTTAAAGAGAGACGATGAGCCGTCGCGAAGGGGGTGGGCAGTTTTCGACGCCAGCCATTTACCTTTAGAGTAAGCAATGTTCGTCTGAACCTAATGACCATTTTGTGACACTCCTAACAAATTTCTTTGATTTTCAGTGAGATCGTTACATGAATTGCATGACTTACGTACCCTTACACTTACTTTATGTCCACTTGACACAAACGAAGTAGCATAGAGATTGACTAATTTGTATTCCTTTCATTTTTAAGTTCTAATGATGTTCTTTCCTCTCTGCTTCAGCACCTGATGAGTGGATGGTTGTTAGACTATAGTTACAAGTGCCAACCGGTAGATTATTCCCACAATCCAACAGCAATGAGGGTAAGTCTCTTTTCTTTATTTGGGAACGTTTACCCTAATCTAAATATTTGATACATTTTCAAGTACAGTATAAAGATAAAATATGCTTCGGTGATATCTTACCTAGTTTACGTAATTATTTTCAGAATGAAAAATGAGAGAAAATTAGGCAACTTAAAATAACGTTGCCGTTAGCCTAATGTTTTTTTTTAAGTGAAGTGCACATTTGCAATGAGGAACTACTATGTTTGGCCCATCCATAAAAGTACCTACTTGCATGAAGTTACTAATAGCACAAATTCTGCTTCCGACATGAACTGGAAATAGCTCCAAATTGCAAAATTCAGTTCGATACTGATCAACGAATTTTCTCTTTTGACTGTAGACGCTTTGAAAAATTTACTAAGGATAAACCAATTAGTTATTTTTAAGCAAGGTAATTATGAACAGAAGGCAAGGTAACATATCGATTTATTTGGTAAATGGACAGTAAGATAAAAATAATGTGAAAGGATACAAAAATCGAGGACAGTGTTACAACTCTGGTCATCACGTGCTTGTCCCTCCTTCAATCAAGCTTCTTACTTCGTCGCTCCACTGGCATAAGGACTTATCTCAATTACCACGAGAGTCCTGTTTTACATATGAATCCATGCTTCCTGGGGCTCTCTCGGAAATCGAGATACGTCCTTACGACAGAGCGACTACGTGGGGACAGCCGTGAAGAGTGCTGCTGCAACCCTTGGTGAGTTTTATCCCCTGCACAGCTTAAGCATCTCTCCGAAGGATCGCGCCACCATATCGTTCCCATTCGGAAACTAAAATGAAAAACGATATTCAGTATTCTTCAGATGTCGGAGCATGATTTTCATCAAATACGCATTACCGAGTTGCTAACATTATGAAATCGGTTCTTGAATTCTCATTCCAAATTACAAAATTGTCTTTACCATTAAAGTATTTAAACCTGAATTTTGGGTTGTCTTCATTGTGGATGCTTGAGCAGCTCCTCTCCATTGGAAGACTCATATGAATTACGTTGTGATTGAGGGAGATTTATAAAGATCTTCGACTTAACATCATAAACACGACGATTTTTGCTGGACCCGAGTAATAACTGCAGCAGTTACAATGATTACAAGGAGTTACCACCGCGAAAAAATACACAGAACATGAGGAAATGTATGTATTACGAGATTTTTAAACTTTAAGGCAGGTTCGCGCCTATTTAAAGTTTGTTAAAATCATATGATTTTCTCCATATCTTGCAGTGGCGTGGCGTGCTTTTCGATTTATCGATTGTTGTGCCATTAAAACCTATGGAGAAGGATCGATAACCAGGGTGTTCGCAGCGAACACCTTTATAATCGATTCTTCACCATAGGTTTAAATGACACAGCAATCGATATATCGCAAAGCACGCCACGCCACTGATATCTTGTACTTTTTGCAGTGGCAAAGCGTTTTAGTTCTTTGTGAGGATACATCTCCAAAGTGATACTAGTGACTTTTACTCGAAGTTATAGTCATTTTTATGATGCTATTTTGAGCACTTTTTTAAGACCTCCTTAATTACGATGCAAACCACATATGGCCTCCTTAGGGAAAGAGCTGATTTATGGACGACTGTGAATACAAGCAGAAGTCCTTTATTTATGTTCCTTACCAAAAATGTCACTGGAAGGAGACAATTTTAATTTATTAATAAACTATATGAGTGCCATTGACGAAATAAAAATTATTCCGACCATAGAATGGAAATAATGAGTTTTTCACATTAATTATTATTAAATTTTCATTTGATAACAACGGACATTTTTGCAAAATCTCTACTTCAGATATACCGTTTGCGTGATTGATTGTTTTCATAGCTCAAGAATTATTCTTAATCCTTAATCACCTACTTGCAACAAAAGAGAGCAGATACGGTCTGAACGATCGCAACTGGTTGACAACGCGGTTCTCCTTCAATTTTGGGTGATACCATTTGACCTACTTCGGAGCTGTAATAGTTGCTAGTTGGTGAAGTAGGCTGAGTATTCTCTTAAAAATCACAATCTGCTTGCTAAATATACGAAATAATTCAGAATCCCTCCTCTCTTACATCTGTGCATATAACTACGACACCACCAAGACATTCCATACCAGAAAACTATCAACAAATGTTTCCTTTTTTCAGATGGCTAATCTTTGTTGGTGGTACTATATTTCAAAACTAACTGAGTTCGTAGACACGGTAAGTTCATCACAACTTTCACTAAAAATAATTTGTTTGTTTTCCAGATGGCAAACCTGTGTTGGTGGTATTATATTTCAAAACTTACAGAGTTTGTAGATACGGTAAGTTATTTTTGGGCAGAAAATATTATTGTGTAACACAGTCACGCATACATTAAACTCGATTGAGACTAAATTTCCAGTCCCAACCATTGAAATCCAGGAATCGGAGGTCATAAGCATGCATTTCAAAAACATTTACACTCGATAATATAATTTAGGTCATAATTCAAAATCTTGGATTTGGATTCACTTTTAAGTTCAGAAAGTAGGGATTTTGAACCCTACAATTATTATAGGGAAAAAAGACATTGTCATCATAGCTCTTTTTCTTTGTTTATCATTTATCAATAATAATATTTTGATTTTAATTTCAGATGTTCTTTGTCTTGAGGAAAAAAGACAACCAGATCAGTTTGTTACATCTCTACCACCACTCTTTGACACCTATTGAAACCTGGATTTGCGTCAAGTTCCTTGCAGGTACTTAATATCCTTTGTACTTTAATGTTCGTGAATGCATTGGTGTTACTTCATTTTTTTCTTACTCAAATCATTAATTATACCATTTAGTGCAATCCTCAATAAGGAATGGTTCATATAATCATATATGGCAACACTGGATGGTGAAATGAGCTTCTGCATTAGTATTTCTTGTGGAGGGGTGGGGATAGGGAGGGGCGTAGCAAGTCACTGGACTTCTAAGTTGCTCTATTAATTTTGTTTCAAGATTTCCTAAAGAGAATATAGATTTAAATAGGAGAATGTGGGGTTTTAACATCATTAATGACACACGAACACACTATTTCTTAACTTGCACCTATACCGTTTCGCCAAATTCTTTGTGCACAGCTATCAGTAATAGCATGATCATCACTCGCAATGGTCCCAAGCATAATTTTATTTTGATTTCTGTCAAATCTAAGACCCAATAGGGTTCTTGACCTTAATTGTTTGACCCCTTCTCCCCTTTGATGAATGTGAGACTCAAAGAGAGACATGAGCGACGAGTGCATGCATTTGTTGATTGAGATCAACTAGATTTAATATTGGGACCTGCTTGATATTGTTGATCTGGAAAGAGATATTCATGTGTTCACAACTAATTGCATTTATAAATTAAAAATTTCACCAAGATTTGATGACGTGTGGAAAAAAAAACAGTCGGAAATTATGACCCAGCACTGAATGGAGTCTGAAAGTTGGAAGCAAACGTGGGCAAACCCAGCGTCAAGTAACGTGTTTCGATTTCTGTATTTGTGTTGCCTGCTTTTTCTTTGTCATCTGTTTAAGTTATCATCAATTTACTTGAATCTAGTAAGGAAAACTAGCTTCATTAAGAAACCCATGGAACAGGAGAACACTTTCCCTCAAAAATTCTCCGCAACCAAACTGGAAGTAAGCGTGTCGGCTCAATTTATTATTATAACAGAAGAAGAAGAAGAAGAAAAAATAAAACCGCATCAGGGCATCCTGACTACCTGAACCAATGGATTTGCGGGAAAAAATAATTAAAATACAGCTAACATTCAACGACTTTTGATTTCATCCAGAAAGAAAGTATATAAGAAGAAATAAAAACCCAAGTGTAAATGAATAAGGAATAAAATTACTGAAAGAGATGCTTGGAAATCGCTTCAATACAGTCTATCTTCATTGTCTACAATGGTCTGATCTTTACGGTTCCAAAAAGATCCGACGCAATTATCTGCTTTTGGCTCAAAGTCCTATAAAATGTGCTTTTCAACTCTATACCTCTCAAAAGTGAAATTTTATCAAATTTTTGTACAAAACAAATAAAAAATCAAAAAAATTGATGTATAACAGGTTTAATATTTACATCTTTGCTTAAATATTTGCAGTAGAGAAATTTATAATCTTGGCTTACCAATTTGCTAGATTTGTCAAACCGTTAATTTTTTTTGTCAATTTCAATGTTTAAACTAAAATACCTGGAAAAATCAATCCAATAATTTGTGAGTGATTTGAAATTTTGCACACGATGTATCAAATATAGAACCTCATACGATACTTTTTGTAAGGCATTATACTTCCCTACATTTTAAATATGTTGAAACGCCGAATAAAAAAACAAAAATAATATAATTTCAGCCATAATTTGGATTCTTACCCCTCTCTTTACGACTTGTAGCACCTGCAATGTAAAAATTATGGAAGTTTATTTTTCGTCAATTTATGTCTATAATAATCATGAGATCAGTTTTCTTTCTTTTTTTAAAAATTCATGCTAAGGATGTTTTTTTTCTTTCATTCTTTAGGCGGGCATGGCACATTTTCGAACCTCATTAACAATATAGTCCACGTCATTATGTACTTTTATTACATGATGTCTGCGATGGGCCCGCAATATCAAAAGTATCTGTGGTGGAAAAAGCACTTGACTACACTTCAGCTGGTAGGTTTCATTACATGGCTTGTCATTAATTGAATATAATTTTTCTAATTATTTAGGTGGACATGGCACGTTCTCGAACCTCATCAACAACATAGTTCACGTGATTATGTACTTCTACTACATGATGTCTGCGATGGGGCCTGAGTATCAGAAGTATCTATGGTGGAAAAAGCACTTGACCACGATTCAGCTAGTAGGTTTTATTGGATTAACATATAAACACAATAATGGAAATCTCCTTTTATTTCATGAGAAAAAGAGGGGAATAGTTATATCCAGCGCCTATAGTAAAAAGAAAATGCTGGCTTTTGTTAGACAACTGCAATTACAGACATAGGCAAAAGATTCATTTTCATGAAATATAAAATGCACTAGGCAACGTCTTCTTTAGATAGACTGATTCTGGTTGAATCCGTCTTGCGAGCTGATCAGTGAAGCTGATGGACAAAGCGATAGACATAAAAGAGGAAAATGGATCGATCCTAATTGGTTGGCACGGGCGGTTGTTATAGACTTGGCGGAAAATGATGGACCAACTATCTCGTATAGGGAGCCGTTACTTATTCCATCACATTATTTGTCCATTGTAACCACCCCGCTTCCACCAATAGGAACGCTCCATTTTCTCTTTGTCTTTCGCCTTGTCTATGAATCTCAATAATCAGCCTGCAGTTGATGTTTTCTACATTTCGTTGTTTTTCTTACAGACAATAAAAAGCGTATTCTTTCCACATTAGAACGCTTTTTTTTTCTTCCCGAGAGGGGAGATAAGGGGACAAGATTGTCCATAAATTTTGAGACCGGCTTATACTGCCTGCAAGGCTGGGAAAGGAATGGAACACAGAGCTAATTTCGATGTTTAATAAAAATTGCATTTATCAATCACATAAGCTTTAGAGGTGAGTAATAGCCATTAAAACAAGCAGGAAGCTCCAACGCATTGGCGTCGGAGAGCGGCTCTGGGGGCAGTAGTTGTAGTCAAGAATGAGGGCCTAGACACATTTTGTCATTGATGTACAATCCGACAACTGTCGATTCATGTTTTGTAACTTAGCAGATTTACGTAGCCGGTGTATAAATGTGTATTGGGCTTTGATATGGCGAATACATGGCATTATCACTTGTTGTATACTTTTAATTTTGAAAGCTCTTTGGAGGTCCGCTTCCTAAAAAATCTCTGGTTGATAAGTCGTTTAGCGAGGCTGCAAAAAATTTGCATTTTTATATCTGAAAGTGTAGGTATTGGTTTTTTGTATAATTGTTTTTTTGGATTGCTGGAAAAGTAACGCATACTTCTATAATTTAGGACTGAGTCAGGGAAATATAAGGTTCGTTAAATAGTAAATATTCCTAGTACCGTGTGACACTATTGTTAACGAAAAGTTTTTGCAACTTGTCAAAGAGGTTGTTGAATGATCTTCGAATAACTTTTGATGAGCTAGAGGTAATGGTTCTATCTGCAGCTTGTGGACTTCTGTACGATATTGTCCAGAATCATCTAAATTTTCAAAAAGTGTCCGCTTGTTCGATACCCAATTTGCTCATTCATGCATACAAGGAGAAGCGCATGAAAGCTCTAGCAGACATTTTGGAGATGAATCAAGAATTAGATGAAGAATTTATGACTTAAATCACGGCACCTTAATCACGGGATGACCTTAATTACGGCAACTATTTATATTCCATGAGATGCAGATGGTTCCATTTCCCTAGCTCATCAAAAGGTATTCGAAGATCAATTTCATCAGCCACCCGTACTAACCACGTTTCTAGTGACCCGTACTTGCTTCGCACGTATGAAACATACAATCAGAGAAAACAGAATTCATCTTACAATAATCAATAATCAGTAGGACATGAATCGTTGCGATGTATAATACGACATTATAATGCGGCATTACTATTGTAATTCATTTTAATGGATTAGGGGCATTCATTTTAATGAGCTATAGATTGTGCATAGAAATTGCCAGTCTAAAGTTTCAAGAATGAGAAAATAATCAGCCCATGAGTGGGTCCAGAATGAGGGAGAAGGAAAAGTTGAAATAATTTTACTGGAAGGAGGGATAAATGAGGTACTCACCGAATTTATTCGTACAGAACATTCAAAAATCCCGTGAAAAAACAGCTCACAAATAAAAGCAAATTGCCATAGAAACTTCTTCACGAAATCACACACACAACGAAGAACGAGGCGCTACAGACGAGTCCGTCCAGGACAAGTTAAAAAATTCCCATGAGCCGAGTGCCGTAGGTTAAGGGCCCGTTCGCCAAAACTAATCGGAACTGTATGAATGAATTGCTCCTTTTAAAAATCAAAACAATATCGAATTGCGATATATTACACAGTTAAGATAGGGCTATGTCCTGTCGTAAGCGGCGACATACAGTCGATATCATTTCAATAATCGCCCCAATGGCCACGATAGTTGTTAGACGTTTACGGTTTCCCTGGTAACCTTTGTTTGCTATCAGCTGATATCAAGTAATATGACTAGGAAGCTCCAACCCAGTGGTTAAAGCTTCCTTAACCGCGAAAACTTTAAAATTCAAATTTTCAAATTTTGAACGTAAAGTACATTTTTTCCATCACGAGATAAAAGCACAAACAAGTTTTGAATTGTTGACTGTATCACCATGATTCCAAAAATACAATACACAACATAGCATTGACTAACAATAAAACAGTATGCAATAAAATAAAGTCATGACAAGGAACATAGCCGAAAATGGCGCCGATTCCCATCAACCAACGCGCGGTCTCTACAATGTAACATGCTGCATTGATACTCCCCAGCTGGGACCGTCCGGAATAGCAGCTCTAGTGCAAGCACCAGAGCCGCTAAAAGATATGAGGCTTACTCAAAAACGCAAAGCCACGATGTTCATTTCTCTTCTTAACCGAATGGTACCCAAGTAGCACACTGCAACGAAATTATTGAACTTAAATTGCAATTTGATTTCGATAAAATTGTAATTTTTTTACCATCAAATTGCAATATTTTTACATCATTTAGTAGATTTATTCCGATTTTAAACAATCGACAAAATGAGCTCCATGTGTCAGAAAGATAGGCAATATGCAATGCAATGAAAAATTGCAACTTATTTCAATTGTATAGCAATACGTTTCAATAAATGGGCCCCCTTCAAATAAGAGGTAGGCAACATACACAACACTTAGTGGAATTGCAATATTTTTACAATGTAATTGCCCCTTATTGCAATCTGTGCTACTTGGATATTAGTGCTTATGGCTGCTTGATAAGTATTATGAAGAATGGGTCAATTTCTGAACTATTTATATTCGTCTGTTTACTCATTCAGGCTCAATTCACCCTGGTTTTCTTCCATTCGCTCCAAGTCCTGGTCTTCGACTGCAGCTACCCAAAACTGGTGGCAGCTCTCCTCTTGGTCCACTCGACCATCTTCTTCGCGCTCTTCTTCGACTTCTACCAGCAAGCCTACAAGAGGAACCAGCGCCCACAAGCCAACGGCAAAATCGAAATGAACGGCAAGGTCGAAGCGAACGGCAAGCACGAAATGAACGGCAAACCTATGCTCAACGGGAAACACGAGATGAACGGCAAACCTCTGCTGAATGGAAAGCACGAAATGAACGGCAAACCCTTGATGAACGGTAAACCACTCATGAACGGGAAGCCTGAGTTGAACGGGAACAACAACAACTACTTGAACGGCAATCACGAGATGAACGGTAGATTGACGATGAACGGGAAGCCTGTTATGAACGGGATGAACGGTAAATACGAGATGAACGGTAAATATGAGATGAACGGTAAATATGAGATGAACGGTAAGATGGAGTTGAACCATAACAATAACCGAGAGCTGAATCATAACAAAGTAGACTAGGGAATCTGGAGGAACGGAAATATGGTCCGAATACTCAACTGACCGACCCGATTTCGCGATCGGCGGTTTCCTTTTGGATCCCTTTGGATCGAGCACCGAGTCATGCTCGTGTGATCCCTGAGCGTCGCGCGCGTCTCCCCCACGCGACACGCGAACAACGAAAATGTACCTGCTTAAAACAAGCGAAACTGATACTTGAAGTAGTTATTAAGCTATTATTCTTCTTAAGTGAGTAAAATTTAAGTACGTAAACTTACAACTTAAAAATTCACTAATGCTCGTAACTCATGTGTATCCATGTGTATAGTAATGTTTTGTTTTTAGGACTTGTAACTGTTTAAGACTGAATGTCATACGGCGGGTCCGTCACAGAGCCCTTTCTTAGTCTGTTATAGCCTGTTTTGGACGAGCTTGTCACGTGACCTTGAACTGTTATCGAAAAAATCTTATATTAAAAAGAAGCAAGAAATACCAAATAATACCAACTTATATTTTGCCAATCGGTTAGCTTTCGTGCTGATCATCAGATGCTAAAAATTTCAAGGTCACGCCCTTTGCAAAAGTCACGATTTTCCCCAGAGCGAGCTGTGCAGTCATATACTGTTCGTACATTTGCTCAGAGAATGTGATTTTTCAACAAGACTGACAGCAGATTGTCAATAGCTCGTCGTTTCTTCTCCATGAGTTAATTTGACGCAACTTTTACAACAAATTTTGTGGGATGTTGACTCAAATTTTAACCACACTATCGTGTTTTTGCACAAATCTGCTATGTTTATTATCTTTCGAAGGAATCCAGTTTATCCATCTTATCATGATTCTGAGAAGGTGCACTCGCTACAAATTCATGCAGATTTATTTCTGATGGTCTTCGATAGTTTAAAAAAAAATTTCAATACTATTTGGAATCGGTGACCTGTATTTAAAACAATATTGCGGAAACCTGGCTGCTAGTGAATTCTATCTTAAGCGGGGACACTTGATAAAACGTGCAGCTGAAACACAAATTATTTAATCAAAACAATGTGTGTTATTTTTTACCTAGATGCAAGTTTGATGAGTGATCAAAATTTCTCTGAGGGGTTCATACCCTCTCGTTGATTGATACGTAATTCTGCACGGAAAAACTGCACGCGGCACCATTTTCCTAATTGGAAATTAGTGTAAGAATTCCCGCTCTTAAATTTATATGATCTCACTTTTACGCCATAACTAGGCACGTTGGCCACATTTCCAGCATTTTTAAGTCTATTTAATTGACTCAAGTGGTGTTTTCTTACCCGGCACGATACACTGTTCGGCAGTGCGGTTCCATAACGTTAGAACACTGCAAAAATACTGTGATACGTTCCAATATCCGTGACAAATTTTCACTCGTTGAAATTTTCAAAGCGATCACTGTCAACCACCAATTGCTGATCAGAATTTTTGTCGGCTCTAGTGCTGATTGTTTGTTTCTGATTCTTGCCTCACAACCGGGCAGCGAAGCTTTTTTCGTTGAATTCTTTCAAATCATCGCATTCTTGTAAATATTAGTTTTAATTCTAATGATACCGGTTAAATTATTGCGTTTGGATGGTTCTGTTTAGTAAAGGCGTGCAGTATTAATGGAACCAGAATCGTCTCAATACGAGCATTTCTGAATTGGTTGTTCATTAATTCGTTCTAACCTGACTGAAAATCTCTTGAACATGTATGAAAAGTAAAATCGAACCTAATACTGGCACAATGTTGCGATTATATCTGTTATGTATGAAGTTGAGTTAATATTTAACGGAAGATACTGCAACGAGTGTAGGTGCGCCAAAAACAGAAGATAAACGCAGATGTTTGCTGTAAGATGAAGTATCCGTAAAATTGCAATGTACGATTCAGGTGAAAATTGAATTTTAATTATCACGAGAAAAACTCAAAAACTAGTAACACCTTAAATCATTCCAATCATTTATTTTAGTGGAACTCATGCAATCAAATTTATCTCCTATCATTTTTTATTTAATATTTTGAACTAGATTATTTCAGAAAAATATAAACGATACTTTCAATGGAAGAACTTCAAGGAGGATGAGATATTATTTTTAAAATTTAAAGCGTTAATTCTCAAGTTTCATCCTGATTTGAAACGGTGATTTTATTCTATAATGGGGTCGTTACATGAACCAAATTTCGGATTTTAAAAAAAAAGGCGCTAAGTAACATCAAGATCAAACCAAGAGTGACAGTTTTGAAGTTTTAGCCCTGCATAATACGCAATGTTGGATGTAAACTTTACCCACTCCTTTCACAATCAAAGTATTTTTTATCAATCATACATTTTTCACATGGTAAATTTAATTCCCATTTTGTATTTTTATTTCCACCAATTGATGGATTGATTGATTGAAGTAACCGTAGATCGAATCACCATAGATCCCTAAAACGAATTTTGTCCTTCACGCGTGCATTGTAAATACTTAATAATGTATTCCTAATGTTAGATGGATTGAATCATTTGCGCAAAAATACTTTTATGTGCCATATTGCAATGAGCATTAAACCCTCTACGATCAAAATTTATAAAATTGAATTGATAAAAAATTTGCAAGTTTGAATAAACGCTATTCCTTACATCGATATAAAAACCGACGCATTCATTTTAAATAATAATAGATTTTTGTTTTTCTTACAAGGGGGTCTAATATTACTCTTCCAAGGGTACTTACTTGAAGGGTACCGCTACATTCAAGACATCTGTGTAGACTAACAATAAATAATCAACAGGAACAGAAATTCCACAGAAAGCTAAAAAATAAAATGAAAAATTTAAAGATCATGATAGAAAAGCTTATAACGCATACATGTTTCTCATGTCGTTATTTATTACTGCAGTGAGCGCTACAAAGTAAGGGAGTCATGTGAAAAAAAAAAGTAAGAAAACATCTGGAATCGTTCGGACTATACTGTTCGATAAAACGATAGGCAATAACTTGATTCGTCCTCTATCAATTTTCTTAATTCGCCTCTATCCCTCATCTTTTCTAGATCCAGAGTTAGAGTTAGCGCAGTCAATCCCCGATCCTCCTTTTTCTTCAATCCATATACTTGTTGATTTTTCTTAAGTGTACAAACTATTCTATTCAATTTATATTTATTTCAATATTTATTTATAAAGAGTACAATTTTACCCATTGGTTTGTACATATTCATTGCATTTATACTCTTCTTTAAATGTAGAAATAGGTTATTTATTTCTTTTTTATTTTCTTTTTTTAAACAAGGCCTCAATGTGCAATATTAGGTATTGACATCATCATCTTCTTCATCTCGCTTCATGATTATGACTGTGAATCATTTCATTCATGAAAATCACCTCATTTAATTTTTTTTTTTTTTTTTCAATTCTGAATGACGCGAAAAATTTAGTCATTCATCAGTTTTCTTCCCTCTCTCATACTCATCCATTACATTTGATACATCGTCAGTTCAAAGCAGATAAAGGCGCCTGCCACATTTTCAAGCACCCGTAAAACTCTGGGCCTATCGTCCTGAAATATGACGAAGGATCTCAAAAGACATAGTGACAAATTCATAATCGCAATTTGGATAAGTTACATTGGTTGTAAACTTCCAAATAAAAGTATTACGCATTATATACTGATCACGTTCATACATATCAGTGGCGTGGCGTGCTTTGCGATGTATCGATTGATCTGCTTCTTAAACTTATGGAAAAGGATCGATGAACAGGGTGTTCGCAACGAACACCTTAATAATCGATTCTTTATCATTGCTTCCAATGGGGAAATATCGATAATCGATCATTCACGCCTCGCCACTAAATGCATTTATCTTAAATACATATCTCCTCGAGCGTCATCATCATACCATCTTCTCATCCTCATTATCACGTCACGAATGAATGATTTTCATTTTAACATTCATAATCATCGATAGAAATATCAATGCATTTAGTTAAGCAATAACTTACGTAAAAGTTTCTTACTCTTACATTTTATTACATTTCAAATTTATTTTAAAATGCTTCATTAATCGGACTTGCATGGGCCCATTGCGGACTGTGTGGGCCTTGTATCCATTTTCTCATCCTGATTTTTCCTTGAACATTCTGAACTTCTATATCATTATCATTTTCATTTCCATGATTCCTAACGTTTCTAATTTATTTGTAATTCTAATTTATTTTGATTAGTTTAGTTTTAAGTGGAAAAAATCGATCAAAATCAAAGCTTTCCATAAATCTCTCGAAAATAATACTCGCTGCTGTTCATTAATTACACTTCACGCTTTTTCCTTTTCTTTTTTTTTCTTTTTGAAAGATGACCGAAAGGTTTTGCTATTACAGCAATTAGTATGGAACGTTGAAGCTTTAAATATTGAAGTCCATTCGAAATTTGACTGATTCTGTACGAGCCACCGATTGAATCAATTTAATCGCTCCGTGGGATCTAAAACTCTAATGTTCCGTATCAAGATTCTACTTTTATTTCTTTGGAAAACTTAAACCATGCGATTTAATGCTATTTTAACTGTACATATGTAATTTGATACTTTTTCTTGCTTTTCCTAAGCTTCTATCTTACGGCGACATCTTGATTTTATCGAATTTTATCGAGCAGTATATTACGATGTGTCCTCTTGATCTTAATTTGTCTAAATGCGATTATCGCAGATTGGTTAAACTGTGTCTCTTCCTTTGAAAATCACAAATGATCGATTCCTAATGAGACAATTTGCTTCATCTAGAATCGATAGTTTTTAACACATTTAAACGAGCAGAACCCAAGGATTGACAAATCTCCAGAATCGCCACTGAATTCATGAACTGCTTGCACTGTTAGAAGATGTGTAATATTTCCAGAGACATGGGTTTTGTCCTCTGATTGCTGGATAGTAAGAAAAGTATATCGAAACAGTGTATGTGTTGATAATTTCCAGAAACTGTTATTAAGTACTTCTGAAGTATACGACAGTTTTGTTTTTCCAAGGTACATCGGCCATTTGATGGGATTCGCGTAAGTTCAAAGATCAAAAATAGTGCGCTTAAAATAGGTGTAAAGAAGAAACAGTCTTATCAGCACTCCCGTTTAGAAAATCAATATTATTAGGCGTTCAAATTTATGATTGGAAAATAAAGGAATACTGGATAAATCGAAACCCGAATCTCATCCTCCTTAAATTTTGTTTCCCTTCCTTTTTTTAAGTAGGGATAGTAATTTTGTCTAAGGTTTAACCAAACAGTTAAAAAAATAAATGTATTTAAAAATGAAAACGTATCGACCAAACAGAAAAATGAATTGGTTCAGCAGGCAAAAATAATCGGAAATTTATAAAAACTTTACTAATTTTTTTTTGTAAAATCAATTTTTATTCTCAAATGAGTCCCACACAAGTTTGTTTTCATCAAGTAAAATTTAAAAATATTATGGGGCAAACAGGGAAAATAAAGAATTTTTTCTATCATCTTCTCCTCATACTTGAGGACAAAGATATCTCTATTTGTAAATGGTCCAGAAATGATGTGCTATACGCGTGGAAAGATTGAATATCTGCAATTACGGAACTTCATCTGACACAAAGCTCAATTACGTGTACGTATCATATTAGTTATGTTATATATTTTGTAATTCAAGCTCTCTTTTGTATTTATAAAGTGTGTGTAAGTATACATTCTTTTTATTTCTGTATTCGTTATAATATCATGAACAGATAAATATATATTTGTATGAGTCTATAGGTTTCTTTTTATTTATTTATTTTCTCCTTGTCATTAAAATGTAATATGAAAACAATTTTACTTGTGATGAAAAAGTGACGCGAAGTTAATTTCACTAATTTTATGGTGAAATGTATAATTTACAATAATAAAATCCAATACTTTTTCTGATCCCTTTTTTAGGAAATGTTATACTGTCACTCTGATTGCTCTCTTAATACGTCACTCAGCGAATGATTTAATATCTGATTCATGCATTTAAAACTAAAGAGAAATATTACTCTATAAAGTGAAAAATTGATGCAGTGCTCTTGAAAACTTTCAATGATCGCATAATAATAAACTATTCCACAATTTTTTTTTTTAAAAAAAAAAAAAAAAAAAAAAAAAACCAAAAATCGAGATTTGCGATTCTGCAGTTTAACATCGATGTAATAAAACTGCCTTGACGCAACAGCAAAAAAGCCCCAAGAGGGTGTCCAACGTTGAGTGAAAAAAGAGAAAAAAATACATCAGGGTCCAGAGATCAAAATAATCATACAGGCGTCATGAACGTAAAAGATTTAAAGACTCGGGGGTGGCGATTGATAGGCGGTCGCCGGTTCCAATGGGTGGGGAGGGGTGCGGCAAGGGGAGGGGGCGAGGGNNNGGTGGTCGGGGGAGGGGGTGAGGGCGGAAGGAAGACGGGGGTGACAAAATCACATTGATACACACATTAACTACCGGCCTGAAATTATCCGAGGCGATACGATAAGCGGGAACTGACTATTTATAAAACCAGGTTCTCCGATAGGAGGGCAGCGTCTGATCCGACGATTTCGGCGAAGGGCGCGAAAGACAACGGAGGGATGGGACGGGGCGGCGGCGCTGGAGGGCGGCAGGGGTGGGTCTGGAGCGATTGTGATTAAAGCTATCTTGACATGGCACAAACTTCGTCACGTGGCGGGCGCAGTGGCTAATATGTTAATCCGAAGTCACTTGACTTCGAGGGGGAGCAAATACCCCTATTAACGACGCCCGTCGATTCCTGCCCGGGGTCGGTCGCGCGACCTTCACTTAATCTCGTATTTAAACTCATTTTTGGTCGAAAATTATACCTCGATTTACTTTTGCCGGCTCATTGAGCGTTGACCCCTTGCCACGACCCTTTGCCTCCACCATCACCAAAAAAAAAAAAAAAAAAAAAAAAAAAAAAAAAAAAAAAAAAAAAAAAAAAAAAAANAAAAAAAAAAATAAATAAAATTCATATTCGCGAAACAATATCATTGATCCTTTTCTGCTCGATTTGTATTGCTGCGAGGTCTCTCATTTTTCTCTAACTTTATACCCTCTGCTGATTTTGTACATAAGTGATAAAATAAGGTAACATGGTAGTAACAACAAGGAAGAGGTTAAATTTTCACCTAAGAACCCACTGAACATATATTAGGTACAATCGAAAACACAAGAAAATGCGGAGACAAGACTAAAATACAAAATACAAAGGCGGGACATTTCGGTACCTTACGGCACCATTATCAACTGCTAAAATAGAATTAAAAATAAAAAAGAAATTAAAAATGTAAAGCCGTTTGCTGGTTTTTATTTTAATTTCTTTTTTATTTTTAATTCTATTTTAGCAGTTGATAATGGTGCCGTAAGGCATCGAAACGTCCTGCCTTTGTATTTTGTATTTTAGCCTTGTTTCCGCATTTTCCTGTGTTTTCGATTGTCGTTTCAGTTTCGGGCTGCTTTTACATTCTCTTTGTTTTCCACTGTATTAGGTACTTTATATGAATGCACCTGAACAGGGCCGGATTCACCTTCTTGTCGCCCATGGGCCGCCTATATTTTGCCGCCCCCTCCTAATTCGCTGTAAAACTCGATAAAAACCATCAAATGAACGTGCCATTAGGGAAGGGGTGCATAAGACGCATTTATTCGTGTTAAACACATTTTTTGGGAAAGCCCTGTCAACACTACTAGCAAAAGTTCAGGGAACTTTGCGCGAAAGTTAAGTTCCGTAAACCTATCTCTGTGTTAACAAGACCCTCTATTCATAAGAAATTAACGAAAAAATTATCAAAGAACAAACATAAATGTGGTTCAATGATTTTAACTTCCACCGCTGCGCCGCGCAGACAGCACCGTGTTTGGCGCAACGCGTGAAGTATCCGATAGTTTTGTAGGCGCTATGAGTTTCACGCCGACGACCGCTGCTGAACGCACTGTGTTTGACGCAATGCGTGAAGTATAACGCAGTCTTGTAGGCGCTATGCGTTTCACGCTGACCGCACTGTGTTTGGCGCAATGCGTGAAGTATTCATGCAGTCTTGTAGGCGGTATCCGTTTCACGCTGACCGCAATGACCGCACTGTGTTTGATGCAATGCGTGAAGTATTCGTGCAGTCTTGTAGGCGCTAATATGTGTTACATGCCAATCGCCGCGCTAAGGGCTTCTCCTTTTCATCTCAAGTCCTCGTTATCATTTCTCTCTAAGTCGCGCCGTTCTAGGCCAAATTCTGTGTTTGATTTCTCTAGTAATTCGACTTATTGAGGGTGCTGTCTCTTGTATCACTAAGAGACGACAAAATTAGAAATTACTATGGTCTCAGGAAATGAGAGATTTTGTCGCCTTTTCTCTTTTGTAATTTTGTTTTTATAAATCCGATTTTTTTTATATACTTACACTTTAAAAAATTGCAGATTTTTGCTGCCCCTTAGATTTGCCGCCATGGGCCGCGGCCCATGTGGCTATCCCCTTAATACGGCCCTGCACCTGACTTAAAAATGGACACTCATCTTCACTATGTCCGGGGCTGGGCCATGATACCGAGAAGAACGCATGCATGACAATTTCCATGTCACAATGAAGATTGTTCCAGTTTATTGAAATTCTTCCATGCTCAGTTTGACAAGGGCTGCTGGACTGCCGTTTCCTCTTTAAAGTCCAAGAGACGCAAAATCTCTGCGGCCTAAACCAGCGCAAAGCACATCCATATTTTAGAGTTCACTCAATCTCCTAAGGAAAAATTTAAGACGCGAGGAGGCGTGAAAATATGTTGATAAGCTCACAAGTCGTTACGGAGTGATATGGCTCAGTGTTTCCTAGCCTCAAGATCAAAACTCATTAAAACACGTCCGAACGAGGAATTGCATAATTTCAGAAGTAAATATTTTTTAAAGATGCCAACCGCGAGAGGTGAATGCAAAGACGAGCGTTTAGACATTCATCGTACTAGGTAAACACTCGACAGGATATTTTCCTGATCAAAAGATAATTAGAAAGGGGAAAAACTGAAGGAACGAGGTAGAAATTTAGTGGTAAATAAGGGCTGAGTCCATTCAGAAGAGCATCCGGAGGCTAAGCAATAGCGACGGGTAGATGTCTCAAGTGAGCGTTCATGAACGGAAATAAAGAAAGTCATCAATATTAAAAAGATTTAGCTCGGTTGGCTGAGAGGACTTGATAGTGTAACCTCTTTGCGGTACAGGGATGGTTCCCTGCTCCCTCTAGGAAAAAAATCCTATGGAAGAAACTGGAGACACTGCTATCAAACTTACATGTTTTCCGCTGGAATAATACAGATTTTAATTTCATTTTGAAAGAAGTCTGACAATCTCTGCTTACATGAGCTCACAGCTCCGCAGAGCTACTAGAGAGCACAAGTGTGACACTGTCTCCTACCCCCACAGTTTCTCCCTCGTTGACCGACAGGGAGGAAGAGAGAGAGAAAGAGATCTCGAAGGACAGAAAAAGCTGCGGATGAAAAGTGGGGGAGGCTTTTCAAGTTTAATCTGAGCGTGTGGGGCCCCCGGTATCTTGATCATCGGGAGAGAGGCGCAGACGAGAGAGAAGGACCGCAGGGCCGAAAGAGTGAAAACCGGGAAAGCGCGTGCAAGATGGTGGAGAAACCCCCGTTCCTGCGCCCCCACCCTGTCATCTTCAGCGCGAGATACAAATCGCATCTCGCAAACATTAGCCACTTGTAAGACATGTTGACGGGGAGCACGGCGTGGCGGTGGGGGCGGGGGCGAGAAATCAAGATGGCGGATGTGACGTCATTCATCTCGCGATATTGATCGCCTTTGCCTACCCCTCCAGGGGTAGATAACATTATGCGGTTTATATCTTGAGCAAGCAACCGAGTCGTTTCTATCTCGGAGCGATCTCTCAAGACATATTCATCAGTACTTGTTGAGCGGAGTGCACCGCTGCGGCGAGCCAGCATTAAGTCATCTCCCGAACAATGTCATTAAACTTATCTTGCTTATTGAAAACTCATCTTCATACATTTTTCCTCTATCCAGACCACTTTTCGCGCCCGGCTCCGAGATATCTGATGTATCCGTTTTACAAGCTCTATAATATCTCTCGTTTCCTTCCGCCGAGTCTTTACAATTAGCCAACATCTTCAGGAGAAAACTGCGCTGTTAGCCAACCGTTTTCCAACGATACTCAACCACACTGTTACTTGAATTTGTATGGTCATATTCTTCCCCAGTTCATCACAGGTCACTTCCACAGTAAGATTGATTCGCGGAATAAGACTTAAGACTAAGACTAAAAACAAAAGTATGGTTAAAGTATCAGAAATTTTCGTTAATTTTTGGTGGAAAGTCGATCACTTAAACACTCTAAGCAGTGAATACTCTCTCCCTCTCTTGAGAAAAGCTTGGAATTTTTTTTCAGTAGGTGGGTAGATGTTTGCCTAGCTATTAATATTGAGCGGTTCAATGTTATGGGGAGGGAAAGTTATGGTAGGGATATTTTAACAACTGATAAATAATTGATGTACCTGATGATATCGTATAAGCAATCACCCTATCAAATTCTATGATATTTCCTAAAACGATGGGGCATGCATTTCCGACATATTGTGTTGTCTATACTATATTGTTTCTTTTTAGACCATTCATGGTGACTTCCAAGAGTCTTTCTAAAAGTCAAAGTTCTTTTTTTTTCTTTTGATCTTGACATCCTGACGTGGTACTTTTTCTTCTTTCATTTTTAATATCTAGTAAACTTACAAAGCTGC